AGAGCTTTTTTTCTTGGAAGTTGTTTTATTACCTTTACAATTTCTTCTTTTTTTAATGGGTCTGTTCAGGTGTTCAGTTTCTGTTTGTTTCAGTTTGGGTAGGTTGTGCATTTCTAAGTATTTGTCCATTTTCTCTCTATTTTCATATTTGTTTGGGTATAGTTTTTCGTAATATTCCAATGTTAGCTCTTTTATTTTAGTTGGTTCTGTTGTGATGTTGCCCATTTCATCTCTTATTCGGATTATTTATGGCGTTTCCTTTTCTTTTGTTACTTTTGCTAGTGATTTGTCAATTTTATTGACCTTTTCAAAGAACCAACTCCTGGTTTTGTTGATGGTTTCAATTGGTTTTTTTCTTTTGTATTTCATTTATTTCTGCTCTAATTTTTATAATTTCAATTTTTTTATAGGATGTCTGGTTTTCTTGTTCTTTCTCAATTTATTGGAGATATTGGGTTAGAGAGTCAGTGGTCATTTCCCCCTGACTTTTGATGTGTTTGCGTATTAGTATAAATTAACCTCGATTACTGCTTTGGCTGTTTCCCAGACGTTTTGTTATGTGGTGTTTTCATTGTCATTTGTTTCAAGAAACTTTTTAATTTCATTTATTATTTCTTCTAGTACACAGTCATGTTGAAGCAAAGTGTTGTTCAGCTTCTAAATGTATGGGTTTTTTCTCCTTTATCCTCTTATAGTTATTAATTTCTAATTTTGTTGCACTGTGGTCTGAGAAGATGCTTAGTATTATTTCTATGTTTTTTAATTTATTGATGTTTGCCGTGTAACCTAACATGTGATCTATTCTGGAGACCGTTCCATGCACATTGGAAAAGAAGGTATACTGTGCTTTCTTTGGGTGTATTAGCCTATAAATATCTATGAGGTCAAGTTGGTTTATTGTGTGGTTTAATTCTTCAGTATCTTTGTTGAGTTTCTTTCTGGTAGTTCTGTGTTTTCTTGAGAGTGGTGTATTGAAGTCTCCAAGTACTATAGTTGTGTTATCTATTTCATTTTTTGGTTTTGTTAGTTTGTTTTATATATTTTGCAGGTCTTTCATTTGGTGCATAGGTATTTATCATTGTTATGTCCTTTTGTTCTATTGACCCTTTAAGGATTATGTGGTGACTTTACTTGTCCTTTGTGATGGTTTTTGCATTGACATTTATTTTATCAGAGAGTAATATTACTACATACTTTTTTTAGGTGTGTCTCTTGTAGACAACATATTGATGGATTTTGGTTTTTTATCCAATCTGCTACTGCATTTAAACCATTCACGTTCAATGTGATTATTGAGAGGCAAGGTTTTTATTGCTGTCATTTTGTTGAGTTCTTTTTGGTGTTGTTGCTGGTTACTTTGGTCCATTCTGCTTTCTGTGGCACCTGTGTAAGAAGGATGTTTCTCAGTTTCCTGCAGTACTGGTCTTGTTTTTACAAACTCCCTTAAGTTCTCTTTTTCTGGGAATATCTTGATCCCTCCTTCATGTTTGATGGACTGTTTTGCTGGGTACAGTATTCTTGGTTGACAGTTGTGTTGTTTGAGTTTTTTTATATATTTCCTTCCACTGTCTTCTTGATGGCATGGTTTCTGCTGAGAAATCGGCATTTAATCTTATCTGCTCTTCCTTATAGGTTACTCTTTGTTTCTCCCTTGCAGTTTTCAGAATTTTCTCCTTATCTTTGATCCTGGCGAATTTGACTATGATATGCCTTGGTGTTTTTCTTTTGGGGTCTATTCTATATGGTGTTCGCTCAGCTTCTTGAATATATATTCTCTCATTCTTCATTATGCCTGGGAAGTTTTCGTCTAACAATTCTTCCACAATTTTTTCAGTGCCTTTGCTTGCTTTTTTCCTGTACTGGGATTCCAGCAATGCACATGTTATTTCTCTTGATGGTTTCCCACATTATTCTTAGGTTTTCTTCTTTTTCCTTCATTTTTGATTCTGCTTTTTGCTCTAGCAGATCAGTGGTGATAATTCTATCTTCTATTTCACTGGTTCTGTGTTCCATGTCTTCAATTCTGTTCATGTGTTGGGTCACTCCATCATGTTGACAGCATCTGAAACCTTGGACCTCATACTTTGTATCATATTTTCTTGTTTTTCCAGTGCCTCTAATTCTTCGTTAGTTTTATCTGCATTGTTTTGGATAGTTTTTTCAGGCTCCTCCTGATTTTTGCTTGTTGTGTCCTGTAATTCTTCAAGTTTGTTTTTCACCCATTGAAAATATTCAATCATTGTTCTTTTGAATTATGTCAGAAAATTCCATCAGACTTTTGGGCTTCAGGAAATCCATCGCTTCTGTGTCACTTTTTGGGGGTGATATCTTGCATTGGGCTTGTGTGGGGAGTGAGGCTGTCTGTTTCTTTCAGGACATGGCTGTGGTAGTGATTTTCGTACCTGAAGTGATAGCTGGTTCTTGATCTGATGTCACTGCTACTGTAGAAGGTTGGGCAGGCACATAGGCAGATGCACATAGGGGGGTGCCCACACAGATGCACGGGAGAGGCGGGTTCGGGGAAGACCTGAATGGAAAACCAGGAAGCCTTAGTTTCCCCCTCGAGAACTGGGTCTGCCACCCTAGTCGAGCTACAGCTGTTTCACTCCTTCCTGCTTAAGGCAATGGGGTCTCACAATTGTTCCAGCAATCAACGATGATCCCCCTTCAGTACATCACTCAATTTCATGCTATCTTGCTTGCTCCTGGTGGGTGGGTCCCACTACATCTCTCTGCTTTCTGCTGTGACTCACTGCACCACACTGAGGCTCGCTGTCCTCCTCTGATGCTCGCTGCCCCCAGCCAATGCTTGCAGCTTCTGCAGCTTTCATATGTCTGCATTGGTCCACAGCAGTGTTTTGAGAAGCACCTATGTATTTGTGGTCCCTTTTTGCAGGCCAAGGGCCCGATAGCAGTTTGTTCCCCAAAGTATCTGGGTGACCAGGAAGGAAGCCTGTTGTTCCCTTCTGGAAGGGGCTTCTTACCTTCGTTGACTGGCCCAGGACCTCCCTGTTGCCTGAGTTAAGGGGTCCCATGTGGTCAAGCTGGACAGCAGTTTGTCAATGTGTCCTTTCCCATTCCCTATCACTCCTCCCTGAGAGAGACTTCACCCTTATTCATAAGGAAAAGGGGATGGCGTATTCTCTTAGCTACTTCCTGCTGAAAAGGGACGCTGTAGGTTTCAGGGTGAAGATCTTCTCTCACTACTCTA